TTCGCGGAGTCACGGACTCCCCTAAGGTGCCTGCTTCAATATAATGAATTTGGCCTGCTGATCTCAAACTTATTGGAACCCATGATAAAGTCGCTTAACTTGCTTTGCATACTGATGAATTTGATAATGTTTTTTATAATCGAAAAGCTGGATTGAATGATAGACATCTGTTTACAAGCCTTTTCCACAAGAAAAGTGTAGTGAAAGAAACGTGGTTTTCTTGAACCAAGTTTTCAATTTCTCACTTGTTTCTTTTTTTCCTTTAAATCCTTTCATTTTAAAGATTTAATACCGAATATCCCAGTCCTGTGAGAGTTGTCTGTATTTCAGAACAGAACAGAACAGATCTTTTATTTCTGATTTGTATATAGTACATCATCATATACATAACATAATAATATTTGAGTAACATGTAATTTTCAGTGCAATGAATATAAAGAAATTAATAAAATAATTAATATAAAGAGATTAATAATTGTAACAATTGTTATTGTTCAGATATTTGTTATTAAGCCTCAGTTAAGTCAGGATGAACATATTTAAGAAGAAAAATCAATATCAAAACTAATTTTTAATCTATCATTAAACTTTATTTTTAATAAACTAAATTTTGATCTATCATTGAACATTATTTAACGCTGTAGTTCTAACAGTCATAGCATTTTTGTAATATAGTGCTAATTTACATAGCTTATTTCTATTATTACTTTGCAGCAATGCAATAAATTTGCATATACTTGGGTTAACAAAATAATATCTTTTAATATAAAGGGTACGAATACTTGTATAACATGGACATATAAAAACAAAATGAAATTCATCTTCTAAGTCTCTTAAAGAACAACATTGACAATACCGTTCATTTCTTTGTATTCTATTTCTGGTATACCTACCATTTTGTATTCTTAAGCTATGTGCAGAAGTTCTTAATCTGGTAATAAGTCGTCTCAAATGATCAGGCAATATATCTAAATAATTTTCGTAACACTTTTTCAGAACAATATTTCAAAAGATTGGAATTATAATCTGTTTGAGAAAACATGCAAACTTTTTCTCAACAAAGAAAAGACTTAATAAAACAAAGAAAACAATAGTAATAAAGCTATCGTATAAAGCACTTATCCTCATGGCAGAAAAGCGTTGACTGGAAATGAGAAGTCGCGCAGTAATATTGTATTTGCATGGCCCATTTGTATGAATTACTGCATCGTTAGCGGTTCCAGAGGGATCCTTTGTGCAATTGATTATAATTATATTGTGTTGAAAAAAAATACTGATTACTTCCTTACCTAGAAATAGAATTTCATTTATCTTTAAACTAACTGCTTCTGAAAGAATTCAATTAAAGTAATTAAATTGGTCCTTTACAAACAGCGTTTAGATACTATATTTGTGAAATATGTGTGTCAAATGTTGACAACTTCTAAGGTATATGATGGAATATTTCAATATAAGCGATTCTTCAGAACGGTTTAGAAAATTGCTATTTAACAAATTAAAACGAAGCGCAGTCAGAAGCGGGGGATAAATTTACATGTTCGATGAATTAATATTATTTCTTTTTATATTTAAAGTTAACTATACTGAGAAATTGCAGGATCGTTATATGAGACACAAACAAGATTAAAATAAAATAAAATAAATACTGTATACTCTTGGGTTTTTGCATATAACTATATTATTATACTTTTGCAGCACCTTTATTATTGTTTTTTTTTTCTTGTACAGGGTCGATATTGTCTTTAAGTAAATTATCAGATCAAGATCAGAGTTATGAAACCGAACATTTTTGCATAACAGACTGATGTTAATTTGAAATCTCAGTGTTATTGTGTTTCTCTGGTCATTTGGTGTAATTGGTTCCAGAACATTTAGAACAGCTTTTGACGGTGCTTGGAAGGGAGCAGTGGGAGATGGTGCATTTTATATAATCTTTCATGAACAGAATCAATCAAACAGAGTACAATTTTGTTGTTTTCTTTACTTACTTTTTCTCCAGATTTTTAAAACAAATAATCAAATCATCATGGTAGAATTGTAACGTATAAATTATGTCAAATCTGATCATGTAACATATAGAAATAAATTGTAACTGGTAAAGAAAAGGGGAATTACAAGAATAATTTTAGAGATCTTTCCTTTGACAATTAATTAAACACATGATTCTGAAATTAGTATCAGGTATTCAATTTTTTTAATTTGTATTTATCTATTTCATGTGCAACTCGTTATCACGACATACTAAGTCGTTTCCTCGAGAAAGTACCTCGTGGGAATGAAAGAAAAGGCAACAGAGAAATAAAAAAGTAATGTATGCGATCTTTGTAACTTCTCACGAACGTAGTCATTCATATTTGTGAATAAAAATGAAAAGATATTTGTTGGTTTGATTGTAAACACATTTGAGCCGCGTCATGACAAAACCAACATAATGGGTTTGCGACCAGCATGGATCCAGACCAGCCTGCGCATCCGCGCAGTCGGATCAGGATCCATGCTGTACGCTATCAGTTTCTCTACTTGTAATAGAGTTGGTAAGCGAACAGCATGGATCCTGATCAGACTGCGCAGATGCGCAGGCTGGTCTGGATCCATGCTGGTCGCAAACTCATTATGTTGGTTTTGTCGTGACGCGGCTCATTTGTTGGTTTGTCTGTAGAACACATTTTTGTCATATCTCGGCGGAAGGTCCACCCAACAGGCTTTCCTGTTAAACTAACCAGTAATTACCAATTTCTCTGCAAGTGACCTACTACTAATCCCACATGATTTGTGAATCAGCATAGAGAGACAAATGACTATTAGACTTGTTGTCCGAGATCAATTGTCACCGCGAAATTTCGCCTCGTGACTGCCGGATTACAAATCCTATATTCTCCATACTGAGAGCTGAACGAGCGGACATCAAAATATACAAATAGACGTGACAGACATGAAACAGACTATGGATGAGTTAAGTATTGTTCTTTTTTCCATAAGATGGAAGCCATTTATGGAATTCATGCTAGCATGTTAATATATTGATGCCAATGTCAATGTGTCAATAAACATAAATGCTTAAATAAAAGGAATACAATACAGTTTCAAGAGCAAACGTGAACATATATTATCGAAATACTTTATTATTATCATTACTTATTCACCATCAGAATCAGTTTCGAACATTTTACAGTATATGAACAAATGAGGTTGCCGCAAGCAATAAGAATTACATGTATATGTACATAACTTTCCGAATGTTAATTTTGACTTAAAATATATCATCTTACATTTCTTCTGATAGGTGACGAAAACCAGACATATAAAGTATATTTGATATATGATATCTTAGAAAAAAATCCAAGTTAAGAAATAGATTTTCTTAAACTTAAAGTTTATAGGGAAAAACTTGAAGGTCTTCGTTCCACTTTTCGGGTTATTCTGTTTCTGAACGAACTTGAGTTTTGGGGGATTTTTTTTTTATTATTATTATTATTTTTTTATTTTTGCTATTTAATTTAGGTATTTGTCAATGTTAGTTTGTTAAATACGTACATGTAGATCACAATATATCTTTTATTTTGTTTTATTGTTTCGTATTTACACTTATTTTTAGTGGATTTATTCATTCCCTCATTTATTTATTTATTTATTTATTTATTTATTTATTTATTTATTTATTATATACTTATAAATGAAATATTGAGAAATATAAAATGCGTATTTTCATTTTCCATATTTTCACTGCAGTGAATCATATTTTCCGTATTGTCACACATATTTTCTGTATTTTCACTGATGTCTTGCCAGTTTGCTAAATTCAACGGAGAGAGTTTCTAAAAAAGCTTTTCATATTATGTCTGTGGTACAATTTATAATTTGTCAAATTATCATGTAAATGAAATGTTTATAAATAAAATATTGTTTAAACTAATTTCAGCCAATATACAAAATTTAAGGAACTGTGATGTCAAAAAAGGAAAAAAATGTATATAAGAAACAGAACATTCAAGTTTTTTTTCTTTAACCCATTACTTCATGAGCATTTTGTGAAAAATGGCTGTTTTCATTGAAAAGTCTCCCCTTACAAGTTCAAATTGCTATAAAAATATAAAAAATGCTTCAATACTAATCAAACTTGGCACAAATGTTGACTGGACCATTGCCTTTGTAACAACATACCCAGGCTTAAATTTCCTGTTACTATGGCAACGAGGGGACACCTCAAAATTGCCAAAAATCACTATTTTGCGTTGATTTTTCCATCAAAATTGATTTCAAAGTGCTGCAACTTCTCAATGGATTGAGATAGAGTCAAATGCTTTTCACCTTTGGTTACACGTTACCTTATGATTGATCTGGGGTCATTTTTAGCCTCTCAAAAGTCTAAAGTTTTCTTGGCGATTAGAAGGACTGTCGCCCCCTTCAAACCCCCCAAACAGAAGGGGGCACATCCCCCTTCTGGCAACCCCCTGATGTATCTTTTGGTTGGGGGCCGCGCCGAAAAAGTGGTCACTTTTTTAAACAACATTTCTGAAACAAAAACAGGTGTTGGGGCCAAAATAAGGCGTATTTTCACCATTTGAGACAACAATAAAGGGGGTGAAAAAGGCGTTAAAAGGCGTGTATATCGGGTAATGGGTTAAATACAGGATTTATTATTTAATTATTTTCATCTGGTGCAATGAAAATAAATCCTGTATTTATAGAAAAATCCTGTATATCTTCTATCTATTTTGACGTTATTTTATTTATTTATTGTTTATTTAGATCTATTAATTTTATTTATTTATTTATTTATTTATTTATTTATTTATTTATTTTTATTTATTTATTTATTTATTTATTTATTTATTTATTTATTTATTTATTTATTTATTTATTTACTGAGATGATAATGATTATTATGATTTGTTGATATAAACTTTATTATCTAAAATTTCAAATAAAGCTTCTTTTTGATTAACTTTTGATATTATCATTTTGCTTGATAAACTTGCAATGTATAGAATTGGGTGCGCTTTTGACATCAAATACGGTAGTATAAACTGAGCGGTTTACACAGCGAGCTTGAAAAAACGATACACCGGCTCTCCGATTCGGCAGTGGAAACGGTAAGATTTTTTTCGGATACGATTATTGACAATGGCATATTCAGATAAATTGTATTCTAGCATTTACAAAACTTGGTGCCTTATGTATTTTTCTTTTAAGATCAAAACACACTTTTATGACCTTGCTTAGGTTTAAAATTATAATCTATGCTAATGAAGTGTATGCAAAAATCTCGTAAAAACGTTGGTAGTGTCAAATCAGGTGATAATTTACAAACAGTTTATTTATAAAGCAATAAACGGATTGTTAATGTTGTTTATTTATGCATTATTATTTTGGTTCTAGGGCGCTTGCAGGAGCAATCAATTTATATTTATTATTAGGTGAAAGATAACTGGTGTATTTTCAGAGTGAACGGAGTGAGGGAAGTATTGGACTAAAACCAATAATAGAGTACTGGATCAGTTCTATTTCTACGGCAGTCAGTGATGTGTGTAGTTCACTGCTTTTTACTTCACCAAAAAATTTACACTATGCAGATTCAGTCAAAGTTAATATCAAAATAATTCATGGATGTTACATGTAAATATCAAAACTTAAAAATTGGAAACGCCTTAAATTTGGGTAGAAAAAGAAAATATCATAATTTTATATGCTGGAATAATTTATTGTGAACAAAATAATGTGTAAAGCTGTTTGATTAAGTTTTTTTTTATGGTTGAAGTTATGAGAGCATGTATTTTAAAAATGAAATAAATGCAACATTTAATAGCTGGAGTAAATTGTAATAATTAAGTTAACATGGGGAAGGAGAATAATGGAACAAGTGGAGAACCAGGAGTTCATTACAAGACTGCCGATCCAGAGTCTGTAAAGGTAAACCAAGAATCTAGCTCCCCATCAAGACGTAACTCTCAAAATGGCCTTCCTATATTGTTTGAAAGAGCGGGAAGCTGGTGGCCAAATCCAAAATTTGACTCAGAAATTTTGGAAGAGGAACAGTGGAAGAATTACTTTCCCCAAACCAGAAGAAGGTTTCAGTATGCTCTGTTCTATATATTTGCAGCATGTATAGCATGGATTGTTTATTTTGGAACAACTAAGCAATATTCAGATCACTGGCCGTACTTTTTAGTTGGAACCCTGGTTTTACTATGCCTAATTGGAGCTATCATAGGTTTCACATATACAAAACATTACAAGAAATTTTATCTTCATTCCTCGGTGTTTGTATCTGTATTGATATGTGGAGGTATTCTTTCAACAATGGTATACACTGAATCTGACTTGTCAATCATCGGAGCTTTTACAGCTACTGTGGAAGTCCTTCTCATGATGTACAGTGTCATCCCAATGCCTCTATATATGACAGTTTTAATTGGAGGCATTTATTCAATTGTGTTTGAAGTTTTGACTGCACTGCAAAACCCCTATATGCAAGCGCCGCTATTTGTAGCAGGGAAGGTCCTTCTTCATTTATGCATTCACTTGATGGGCGTTCATATCTTTACTATGAGACAGGTTCGTCAAAGGAGTACATTCTGGAAAATAGGACAGTCTACTATAGCTCGAAAAGATCTTCAAGTGGAGAAACAGATCAAAGAGAAAATGATTCATTCTTTAATGCCTCCAAAAGTTGCTAACCAGGTCATGGCAAGTAGGACAGATAAAGACGAAGATGACATACCGAAAAAGCGAGGTTCAAAGACAAAGGCTTTGAAAAAAGGAGAGATCATTTTCCGCACATTTAACATGAATAGAATGACTGATGTGAGCATACTGTTTGCTGATATTGTTGGTTTTACAAAGATGAGTTCCAATAAGACTGCTGAGGTTCTTGTAGGTCAGCTCAATGATTTATTTGGAAGGTTTGATGATCTTTGTGCTAAATCAGGCTGTGAGAAAATTAGTACCCTTGGAGACTGTTATTACTGTGTCTCAGGTTGTCCGGAACCAAAGCCTGATCATGCTAAATGTTGTGTAGAAATGGGGCTAGGCATGATAGAAGCTATTATCAAGTTTGATGAGGATAACAATGAGCAGGTTGACATGAGGGTTGGAGTTCACACTGGTACAGTACTCTGTGGTATTGTAGGAACACGAAGGTTTAAGTTTGATGTGTGGTCAAATGATGTATTACTGGCCAACATAATGGAATCTAGTGGGCAGCCAGGACGTGTTCACATCTCTGAGACATCCTATCATTTTCTTAAAGATGAGTACGAAGTTGAAGAAGGAGAAGATGTTGAAGGTAAGAAATTATATACTAATTTATCTTTTACTCATGAAATATCATTATTATTCTGCTGAACCTTTTTAAGGGTATCCTTATGTATGATCTCTAATATGCCATTACAGTTTTGCTTTATAAGCAATTTTCTCTATGTTTATGTAAATTACTCTAATAAATTGATGGAAAAGTCATGTCAGACTCCCATATATTACATGCTAATATGATTCATTACATCTATATAAAGATATCTGGTGATAAAATGGGTCCAATTCTTTGCATAAATTGATAAATTCTAAAAATGAGATTGTAAGCTAAATTAAGACAATGACAAATTTGAATTTCATTAAAATATTTAGTAGCATATTTCATTACAAAGGTATTAAATACAACAACAGCTAGAATTGTTTATATATGTAATTAATTCAATGTTGTGTTAAAATAATTATAATTTAGAAATGATTGAATTCAGTTTTTGTTTTTGCATTTTGTTGAATTTATGTAGAGGTTTAAAGGGTTTGGAGGGAACGTTGTAAGACAGAAGCTAAAAAGTCACAGCTAATACATTGTTTATTGTTAATATCATTTCTTTAGTGTGCAGAGATAATGTGCATTAAAATCTGTTTCAAAATATGTAAATTTTATAAATACCTTATTATTGTCTCTCAAAATATTTCATGTGAGTTTTAGATATATATTTCTCTACCATTTCTACATTGTATATATATATATTAAATATTGTATAGATGTATCATGACGGTTAAAAAAGTTGAATTATGATATAATCTTAGCTGTCAGCATCTTACTAAAAGGAATGTGAAATGTCAAATATTTTTCCCTATTCTGGTGATCTACATATAAATAATCATAAATGATAATGTACCGAATGAGTGATGTACACAGTATTCAGAAAAGCTAAATATTTTGAAAATGTTGACCTTTTTTGACAAACTGTACAGTTTATGTATGTGTTCTTACCTGTAACCTGTATTAATAATTCAGACTTTAAAATCTTATAATATACTCTCTGTCCCTGTATGTATTCAGAATTTGAAGTTTAATTGTGACTTATTGAAATTTTGCTATTCAGCAATAAATAACTTCCAGCTTATGAATAGGTCAGTGTTTTTATTTGTGACAGAAATTCTCTCTTATACATGTTTCTCTCTAATAGATGTAATCATTATGCATACATTAAAATTTCATGTGTAAAATTATTGAGCAGTTTAGCAACTTAATACTTTCTGTGAAGAAAGATAATCCAACACAGTAAATCAATGACCATTCAAAAAGTAAATAAAACCTAAATTCTCTTTGATCGAATGTAAATTAAGCATAAAAAAGTTGTGTGCGTAAGAAATTTTGTGATATATTTGTATACTTAAAAGCCTTTTGAATTTGGCAAAGATCTTAAAATTCGCTGCTGAATATTTATTTACAATTCCTGCTTTTTCCGATGTTATTTTTTCTAGTTTTGTTACTTTGATGAAAGATTTGCAGAATGTTTTTTTTGCTTATTACTGAGCTTATTTTGTTAAAAACAGCTTAATAAAATATTCAAATCTTCTGAAAGGTAAATCAAGTAACTTTTTGTTTTGTTCTATTACATGTATTGATATTTCTGTGCTGTTTTTTTGTTGCTACTGGAATTTTATCAAACAAGATTCTTAATGAAAAAGTATGACAAGTGCAAAGTAAAAAAGCCTAGCAAAATACTTTTGGAGAGAAATACTCAAAGAGTACAAAGTACAGTAAATTCACTAATAAACTTTGATAGATTCTGGTTTCTTCATTTGCATCTATTAAAGCTTGAATCTATACAAGTACAAGGAATAAGGTACATCAAAAGTTGCTGGTCTCAAAAAGGAGAAAAAATTAATAAGAATCCCTAAAAAAAATCCAAAATGTCAAAATTGAAAATGTTGGAGGCTTGGTTTGATTGAACTTATTTATGGACAGTACAAGTGCCTAACATCAAAATGTGATTTTGAAAGTTAAAAGAAAGAAGGAATGTTAATCATGGTAACAACCATTTAAATAATGTGTACCTTTAGTCCTCTGTCTATTTAACAGTGTAAAATAAACAGGTTAGATATACGATTCATGAGATGTAATTAAGCGTATGCATAATAATTAATCTCTTTATTTTATAATTAGCCGAAAGGTCTCAGATTATTACATTTAGCATACTGAAATGTCAACTGTAGTAGCTATTTATAAAACATCTTACACAGACCTTCATAAGCCATCAGCTAGGCTTGAAACACAGCCTGTAAACAAACTTAATGTTTCACTGCATGCTTTAATTATACAAATGTCAGCTGTTTTAATAGTGATATATTTGGACAAAATGTCTTCATATTTAAAGTTTAAAAGTCACAAAATATTTTATGTTTGAAAGATTTATTTAACCTTCATATAAATACAGGCATCACTTTGGTATCAAATTGCTTATGTTACAGAAAGATTTTATAAAACAGATTGCATATTGTTCTTTTATTGAGTATAGTAGATTTTTTTGTGGGGCATAAGTCTTGTTGACACATTAGTGGTTTATTAATATTTGTTTTAAAAAAGATTCTCTTAAAACCTCAAGTATTTATATTCCTGCTTTATCTCACATCATAAAAGGATGTACATGTATCCTGTTACCCTGGACATCAGTCTCTGCACCCACATCAGCATACTATACATGTATTTATGTTTTTAATAATAATAAATAATAATAATATATTTATTTAGAGAAAGTTACATACAAACTACAAAGTTTACACAAAAAGAGAACATGTATACTTACATGTTACTTGTACTTAGGTTCAGTATTTAATTTTCAGCCTTCTGATTTAACTATTACAAAGAGAGAAAAAATAATATAGCGATATAAAAGAAAAATAAAGAAATACTTGTAGATCTATACAAAATTTGAATTTTTTTTGTACAAACAAAAAATCAAGCATTAGAGCTTAGTAAGGAATTTTGTACGACCCTTTTCATTGAAAACATTGATGATTGGGTAGTGATTCTTACTTTGAATTTGCATTACAGCATATTTCGGATTTTGAACCACTCTTTTCACTGAACTGAACAGATTGAGTAGTAATTTTTTTACTAGCATAGTTAGGATTTTGTAACACTCTTTTTCACTGAAATGCCCACTTTGAAACTCAGCTTACTTGACTAGGAGTATGAAACTCAGTCATGGATTTTATTTTGACTGTGAATTTTGCTCAAATGTTTTCGTACCACCTTTCTTTTTTACCTTTTGGGCCATTGTTTTGAGCAATTAGTCAAAGAATTTAACACTCATCCTCATTGTAAATTAAACTCTGACATGGTTTTTGACATAAAATTGAAAATAATAATTATAATGCTCTTTTTTTTTTACTTCCGTATACCTGCTCTTTTTTCCACTGTCAAGCACCAAAAATAGTTGTGTCTTGAAGATAGCACTTGCCTATATTTCTAAAAAACTTAACAGTTTACCTCTGATTGTAAATTTCAAAACTATTGGTCATGTGCTAAGTCAGATGTATGTATGTTTGAGGTAATTGCACACTTGTTATTACAGATATCAATCTACAGCCATTGCTTACATACAGATGAGCTGTACATAATCTAGCTAGACTAAACTGCGTTCAAAAGTATTTTCTTAGAACTCTGTGCCTATTTCACCTTGGTAACCCAACAATATCTAAATAATCTTCACTAGAGCTTGGAACGAAAAAAATTTTGTATATACACATGATTTATGTTTAACAAAAAAATGAAACTTGTTTTCAGTATTGGATATAGACCAGTCAGCTATTTCTTCTTGTATGTAGATTATGCAGCAAGATAAAGTTGCTGTGCATTGGTTGGTCGGGAAAGATAAGCCATCAGTAAAATCCTCAATAATTGTTCTTGAATAATATTGTATATAAATCTACATTTTTCTAGGGTTCTTGCCAAATGTTTTCTGAATTTGACTCAGAGAAAATGGGATATCAGACAGCAATTTATCTGTTATGTTGTTAGAATGATCTACATTTAGCTTTGAAAATGTTTGAACACACACTTATCAAATGTTATCACTAACAGCTGGCAAAAATATTAAAAGAAAATGATTGACTGTTTTACACAAAACATATAAATTTGTATAGTTTTTATGTAGTAATTTCTTTTATCTTAAAAAATCATGCTTCTTAAATTATGTTAGGGTCGAGCGTAAAGAGTTTCTAAAGTTTTCATAGCTCTCTATCTGTTTTGGGGGAACAGTTCCTGTACAAGGGGAATTTTTTTTTTATCTTTTTCCCTGTAGGGTGAATTTCAGACAATTTTTGCTCCACATACATAAAATAGTGCAATACTCATGTTTATTACAATCTGACATATGTTATATATTTAAAAAAAGCAAATTTTAATCAAAGATTATTAATTAAGGATCTTCTCCCTTTGGCAGGTTTAGATAGGTATAGATAAGTAAATAAATAAAAAGAATTTGAGGGGAATTTTTTTTTAATAAGGAGAAATAAAATTCTTATTTTATGTAGGATGATGCCATATTCTCGCCGCAAAAAATCACGAATTGATGGCCCTGGTTTTTTCCACACAATTTGCACGAAATTTCAGCACATTAGATTTCGCTTTCCATTGAATTTTGTTTTTTTCTTACAGATATTTTGTAAAGTATTCTCTATACAAGCAAGACTTGCACACTTGTTTATTTAATATAATCTATTCAAGCTGCACACTTGTTCAGTATCATTTATACAAGCAGATCACTTGTTCAGTTTAATCTATACAAGGAACACAATTCTTTATTATAATATCTAATCAAGCAACACACTTGTTCAGTAACAGTATAATCTATACAAGCAGCTCTCACTTGTTCAGTGTAATCTATAAAAGCAGCACACTTATTCAGTATAATCTATAAAAGCAGCTTGTTACTTCAGTATAATCTATACAAGCAACACACTTGTTCAATATAATCTATATAAGCAGCGCACTTGTTCAGTATAATCTATACAAGCAACACACTTGTTCAATATAATCTATACAAGCAGCACACTTGTTCAATATAATCTATACAAGCAGCACACTTGTTCAGTATAAT